GTGGGGCCCCCCCCCTATCGAAAGTGGTTTTTTGTGTGGAGGGGTACATCCCCCCCCCCAAGCAGGAACCCTCGGCTTGGGGGGGGTTCGGCAATCTTTGTACAGTCAGCAGCTGTAAGTACCATGTGTTCCAGTGGAGAGATTTTTTGGTCGCCCCCAAAATGGGGGGTTTTACGGGGGGGCCTTCTTAGGAACACACGCGCGTGGGGGGTGGTTTCAACCAGAACCCGAGGGTGAAGGGGGGACGGCGTCAAAAAGGCGGAAAATTGGGTCCTTGCTTTTTCCTGCTGGGGGGGTGGGGCCCCCCCCCCCCAGCAGCAGCGCTCTGCTGCTGGGGGGGTCAGGACCCCCCCCCCCAGCAGCAGCGCTCTGCTGCTGGGGGGGTCAGACCCCCCCCCCCTAGCAGCAGGGATGGCTTTAGATGTGCAGGGGGGGTACCGAGCAATGTGCGGCCGCTCCAGGCAAAAGGGCAGAAAAAAACGACACAAGCGAGCGCTAGTGAACGCCCAGGGAACCGATAGCGAGGTCCGCAGCCGCAGTCCGCGCTTCCGCTCGAAGGGTTTGTCGCTGTCGTAGTCGCAGGCAAGCTTGTGGCCGCCGAACAGCTCGCCGATAGCATCGTCGCGACCGACGCCGCCGCCGAGGCGGGGGGGGCCGCGGTGACCACCGCCGCCCACGTCGTCCTCCGACGAGTCGGCGTCGGAGTCTGGGGGGGTGGGAGGGTCGGGGCGCACCCGCTCGCGGTCCTTGGCCGCCTTGCCGCCCGCTCCGCCGCCGTCGCCGCCGCCACCGCCGCCTCCCGGTGGGGGGTCTTCCCCGTCGGGCTGTGCGACGGGCTGGGCGGCTTGAGCCTCGAGCCGCTCGAGCCGCTTGCGAAGCACTCGCAACTCCTCGGCCGAGTCCACAGGAGCGGGAGGCGCGGCTGGGGCCCCGTCGGTGCCCCCGCCAGCCCCCGAGGGGGCTCCGGCCCAGAGCCATCTTTTGCCTCTGCGGGCTGTACGTCTTGGTCAGCGTCGGAAGCGCGCTTTGGCGCCGATTTGCCCATATCGTTGGGCGCACGGAGGGAAGGAGAGGTGGGCTCCTGCCCGAGAAGGTCGCGGGACCTGCGCAGAGCTCGCTCTGCGTGATGCCGCTCGAGCTTGGGCGTGCACGCAAGGGGGGTCACGCGCGCAAACAACTGGGAAGTTCACAGCTGAGCACACCCGAGAACTCCGCGTCTCACCGGCGTTTGGACAAGCTGTTCAATGGTTCTGACGCTCGTGCGCTCGTCCCGCCCTTTTTTTGGCCCCTTCCTCCGCGAGCCACCCTCCTCTCCCACACCGTGCAGGAGGCGCTCGCTGAGTCGGCGCGCGAGACGGAGCACGAGGACGGAAGCGACTCGGACGACGACCCCCTCCCCGGTTCTCGCGGCCACAGCCCGTTCTCGTCACGACTCGCGCCGCGCCGGCTGGTGGGCGAGGCGTCCGCCTCTGGCGCGGGCGCTAGTTTCCCGATGTACGTGATGCGAGTATCAGACTTTCTCCGCCTCGAGCGGCTCACCACGCATAATGAGCTGCTCCGCCGCGGCCTCCTTCGCCGGCTGGACGATCACGATCTCGAGGCGCATGTCCACTTTGTCTCCCACCAGGCACGCGCAACCGCCGTGCGCCGCGTCGCCCCCCCCCCCCACCCCCCCACCCTGCTACGGACACACAACACCGACACAATCCGGCGAGGCACCACTCACAGGGGGTCTCTCCCGCCGCCGCCACGCCGCACCGTCACAGCCGTCTCCTCCGCCACCGCGCCGCAGTGGTGCGGCCGATCGGAGGCCGACCCGAACGGGGACCACCTTCGCACGATGCAGGGCGCCTTTCGCATGGCGCGCGCCGGCCAGCACGACGAGCTCTTCCGCTCCACCTCGGCAGCTCCGCCCTGCACCTCCGCCCTCGAGAGGCTCCTCGGGCGCCTTCCTTCAGCCTGCTCGGACCCGCACGAGCGTCGCGTAGGACAAGCTCGCCTTCTTCAAGGGCTACTCGAAGAACAACGCGCGCTTCCTGCGCGACCTCTCGAGCAGCCGCTCCTCCCGGCGGAGCACGCCTCGGAGCACACCCTGCTCCACGCCGGGCGCCACGCCGGACCTGCGCCGCCGGCCGGTCGGGCCGAAGGAGGGCGTGCCCCTCCTCGCGGCGGCGGCAGCTAAGGCGGCGAGTGGCCGGTGCGGCCTCGGCGAGCGCTTCTCCTCGGTGCGCCGCTTCTGTTCCGGACGACCCTCTCCCCGGACCCGTCTCGGAGCCTCTCTTAGGCGAGCACTCCTCGGCGGACGTGGCGGACCGCTCCTCGTCCTCCCGCGGGGGCGGGGCGGTGGGCGGGGCGAGGACGTCCCTCTCCTCGCTCAAGTCCATCGAATCTGGCGGCGAGGAGGCCTCCCAGCCTCCCTCCCCTTCCGGCCTCGCCTCTGTCACGCCAGAGCCTCAGGGCCCCGCGCCGCCGAGCCACTCCGGCCTAGACTCCGGTCCTAGCTCCGGCCCCTCCGGCGGGGTGCGGAGCGGGAGGCGGAGCTTTCCCAGGTCGACACTGAAGTCGACTCCGCGCTGCGACTCGCCCGCCATCTCGACCGCCGACCGGAGGCCCGACGCGCTCGAGCTGGCGGCCCTCTTCTCTCAGTCTGTCGGCAGCGGGTGTGGGGCGTGATGGCCGGACGCCGCTGGCCCGCCGCACGGCACCGAGCCGCTGAGGAGCTCGGGCCCTGCTCCCGCAGGTGGGTGTGGATGGACTATGTCTCGATCCCGCAGACGCGGGGCTGCCTCAACGAGGAGGAGCTGCGCGAGACGGCCGCCGCGCAGCGCCTCGCCATCAACAGCATCCCGGCGTACGTGGCGCGCGCAAACAACTTTTGGGTGTGCGCGCCGTCGGGCGTGCGGCACGAGGACGGCGAGCGGTGCGACTACGCGACGTGGTCGTCCCGCGGCTGGTGCCGGATGGAGGAGTGCTGCCTCGCGCTCAACAACTGCGGCGACGGCCGCCCAAAAGCCACGCGCAGCCGGTCGGTATCTCCCTCCATCTCCCTCTATCTCCCTCTCTCTCCTTGTAGGCCGACCCCTCCTCGTCACGCAGCCGATCGGACAGCGGCCGAGGGTGCAGGTGCTCGACTCGTTGGACCGGCTGACGGTCCACACGCAGCGCCGCACCGCCGTCCTCACCGGCCGCTTCACCTGCTGCGAGACGGGGCACCGCCGCAAGACGGCCGACGGGAGGGAGGAGTGCCTCCCGTGCGACAAGGTTGCGCTGCGGCCGGTGCTGAGCGCGCTGTACGAGACACAGCTGGCGACCCTCCGCTCCAAGTTCGAGGCGCAGCCCGGCCACGCAGGGCCGTTCTGGGACGTGCTCGACGCCTCGATGCGCGGAGACGGCACTTTCTTCAAGCACTTGCTGCTGCGCATGCACCGGCAGTGCTTGCTTGCCGAGTCGCTGCAAGAGCCCGCCGAGGGCGAGGCGCCGCCGGGCGCGAGCGGGATGCCGATCGGTTGGTCCAAGCGCTTCGAGGAGCTCGAGCTCCGCGACCTCGAGGAGTACGTGCGCACGTGGGGCGTCGACGGGCTCGAGGAGCAGCGGGAGGAGCTCGCCGTCCTAGCGGCGCGAGAGGGGCACCTCCCAATGCTGCGCTACATCGTCGAGCGGTACGGCGCGCCGCTGCGAGTCGAGCCGAGCCCGGTCGGCCTCACGCCGCTGCAGGAGGCGGCGCGGCTCGGCTGCCTGCAGGTCGTGCGCTACGTGCTTCAGGCGCAGGGCGTCGACCACGCGGCGATCAACCACCGCTCGCCGTCCACGGGCTGCTCCGCCCTGAGCGACGCGGCGATGCGGGGCCACGCGGGCGTCGTCTCGCTGCTGCTCGCCGCTGGCGCGCAGGTCGACGCGCCGCGCAAGGACGGCAAGACGGCGCTGCACTGCGCCGCCGAGCAGGGCCACGCCGCGGTGGTGCGACAGCTGTTGCGCGCGGGCGCCGACCCGCTCGCCAGGGAGGAGGAGGGGCGCACGCCCGCCGAGCTCGCGGAGGTGTGGCACGAGGACGCGCGCGCGTTCCTGCTCGCCGCCGAGGAGCACCAGGGACAGTCATGACAGGGACAGTCAGGGCGCAGGAAACGGGAGCGGGGCCCGAATCCAAGGGACCTCCCCGTGTCTGACGCGTGACGCACTGTATCGGTGACGAGACGGTCGACGACCAGGGGCGCGCAGGTCCAGGTGGGCCGTTCGACGCTACTTCCGGTACAACCTTGAAGCTCACTATATACGATAGCCACAGAGGGCAAGGGCTAGCCACAGAGAGTGAACCCCGCAGGAGAAGCACAACGAGGGGACAAGACGATCGGCTCTTCTGTGACTGTGTGCAGTGTGGTCTCGATTTTTTTGAGAGATTACGTGACAACTCTGTGCAAGACGTCCGTCGTCCCTCAGCCTCACACCTGCGCTGAGGTGACTTGGACCACCAAGAACAGGGCGGAGGAGCTGTGAACTCATCCCCCAAATCCCCACCCCTGTGGCCTTAATGCTTAAACCTTAAGAAAAAGCGGAGGCCGGAGCCTAGCTCGCTGGGAGACGTGCGCAACCAACCTAAAATCAGGAATCTAGGGAGGACACACCAGTGTGAGGGAGGGTGAGACGATCGAGGGGTCCCGTACCATGCGGAATCGACCCCATCTCCAGTGCTCAAGTGCTCAATAGGGAGGAGGGGGTAGTCAGAGGGGTGGGCGTAGGCCGGCATCGATCGGTCAGCCCTCCGGAGGAATTTAAAGAAAAGAACTCTCTCTCACAGCACACAGGCTCGACACAGGTGCGAACTGGCGCGTGCTAGTACTATCACCGGCACACCACCGGAGCCGCCTAAGCGACTCCGTTAAGAACGGCAATGCACTTAGCACCGTGCACAATGCCGCTGTCCCCGCACGCTAGCTCGTTCACCGTCTGCCACGCCACGGCGGTGTGGAGAACGACAGACAAGCGCTGCATCTGCAGCCCGTGCCAGTTCTTGGTGGTCCATGTGACCTCATCGAGGTGTCCGGAGGAAGTCAGCTGCGCCTCGTGAACCCTCGCCGCGAGAGCAGGGGCCTGCGAGGGGACAACGGTCAAGGCTCGTTTCATGCCACGGCCGACAAGGCAGAGGCTGCTACCACCGCCGCCACCGCCCCTCCCCGCGCAACGGTGGCAGCCGCCGCTGCGCTTCCTCCACATTCCAAAGACCGCTGGCACGTCTGCGATCGTCGAGCTGCAAGCGCTCGGATATGATCTCGGCAGCGCATCGCAGGCAACCATGGAGGCCTGCTACCCACCGTACAAGAGCAGCAGCCCATCGACGCTCAACTTCGTCTTGCTGCGGGAGCCGCGGTCGCACGTACTCTCGCAGTTCCTCGAGTGCCGCTTCACCCGCTTTGGCTCGTGGGTGACGTGGGCCGACTCGCTCAGGCACGCCGAGTGGCAAAAAGAGTGCAAGAGGACTCGCTGCGGCATAAACCGCTTCGGTGAGCGCTTCGGTGGCTCGAGGAACCGCACCGCAGCCTCGATTCTGGCCGGCTTCGAACCTTGGATCCGCCACTTTGCTCGCGTACAGGGCAGCGCCCGCCGCTCGGGCGTCGATGACTTTGGGTGCTACGACGCGCGCAGCCTGCAGACCCGGGCCTTGACCTGCGCTCGCAGAGGAGGCTACGCCAGCCACCACTACGATGGCGAGGCCAACCTCGCCGGCGCGATGGAGGTGGTGCGGCAGGTCGACCTGCTGGGCGTCACAGAGCTATACCACGAGAGCCTCTGCGTCGTCCACTTTCGGGTCCAGGGCGCGCTCCCACCATCCTGCGTCTGCACCGCGGACGCAAACCACTCCGCCGGGGGGGGGACGATGCGTCACGAGCACCGCACGCATGGCGGGCCTCGCGACTTCGGGCTGAGCGCGCTGCCCCAGGCGCTGCTTCCCACCGTGGACGCGGTGACGCGCGATGACGCGCAGCTGTACGAGGCGGCGCTCCGCCGTGTGGTGCGCGACATCCGAAGCGTCGAGACGCAGGCGGGGGCACGAGTCTTGTGCCGTGCCGCGCCGCGATATTCGGCGCCGGGCGGCGCGACTGGGCAAGCCTAAGGCGCACGGGAGGTCGGGAGCAGCAACTGGAACGATAACCACGACCATGTGACGTGCGAGAGGGGGAGGCGTAGAAAGATGAAAGTGGAGACTCTCGGTGAGGCGTGCTGCGGGGCTGTCAGGCTGTCAGGTGCTGTCAGGTGTGATCTGTCGGGCTATCGGGCAGCTGTCAGCGCCACCGATAGAATGTACACACAGCGGAAATCGAGAAAAAGAATAATGAATCCCGCCTCGACGGACAGATCTCAGATGAGGCAGAGGCGCGGCGCGAGAGGCGGCGCGATGCTCGCGTCATCCGGCCATCAGCGCCATGTCGTGTGCGGCCAGCTCCAGCGCGGCGCGGTAGAGCAGCGAGAGCGGCGGCTCGGCGCGATCGAGGCGCTGAGCAGCTGCGTTCAGGCGGAGACTCGCCCCGCCCGCCCCCGGCCCCGACGCCTCGAGGAGGAGGAGGACGCCTCGCGCGATGGCGCGCCAGTGAAGGCGGAAGCAGGGCAGCGCGGGGAGGAGCGCGTCTGCAAGCGACGCGACCAGGTCCCTCTCTGTCGGGAGGGAGGGCGCAGCGCCGTCCTCGCAGTCCTCGCCCCCACCCTTCCTCCGCCCAGCGTCCCCGCGGCCGAGGAGGAGGAGGGCGTGCCCGAGCGCCAGCCTCGCGAGCGAGCGCAGCCTAGTGGACGAGAATGCGCGAGCTGAGGAGGCAAATGCGACGGCACTGCGTTGGAATGCAGCCGAGTGCATGCCGTCTCGAGTGCTAGTTGGAAAAATGCCGGGACTCCGAGAGGCATCTAGCGAGCGCAGCGTGTGCAATGCCGCCATGGCGCCGAGGGACGGGTGGCCGCCGCCGTACAAGGCCGAGGAGGCGACGCGCCAGCGCCAGCGCTGCGCCACGCGCGGCGTCGCCTGCGAAAGAAGCAACGGAGGCGCGCTCAACTCGAAGAGCGGTCCCAAGGACTGGAAGGAGATTCTAAGACGAGCGTAGCAACGCGTGCGTCGCCTGCACGAGGGCTGCCCTCTTCTTCCCTTCCCTTCTCTTCCCTACCTCTCTCTCCGCCTGCACGAGCATCACGAAGGTGCCGAGCGCGTAGAAGGCCTCGCAGACTCCGCGGCGCAGCGGCGGCGAGCCGTCCGTCACGCGCACCCGCGGCGCTGCCTCCTCCACCCCCTCCGCCTCCCCCCCCCCCTCCGCCTCCTCCACCTCGGCCCTAGGCGCGAGGTGCGACGTCTCCGACGGCACTCGCTCGAGCGCGGTCTGCGGGCCGAAGAAGAGCGTGGCCAGCCCGCGTGCCTCGCCGGCGGCGGCGAGCTCGGTGAAGTCGACATCGGCAGTGAGGTCGCACCAGCCGGGGCGGCGGAGCGCGAGCGCCGCGCCATGGCCCGGTGGCGCCGGCAGCCGGGATCGCACCCGCATCCCCGAGGATACGGCGCGGGTAGAAACGGCGGCGGCGGCGGCGGAGGCAGAGGCGGAGGGCTCGGAAACGTTGGAGGCGGAGGAGCGGCTAGCCGCGGCAACGCCCGCTCGCGGCGGCCGCGGCGGGACGCGGCGCGCCGACCGAATCAGCGTCGCCGCGTCGGCGCCGTAGTCGATTGTGAGGACGCCCCCCTCGTCGAGGAGGCTGGCGAGGCCGGCGGCGAGGCGAGGCAAGGCGGGGCTCGGGTACAGCTCGAGCCGCTCCCCCACCGGCCGGCCCCGCAAGGCGGCGCGCAGCGGCGGCGCGTGCAGGCGCAGCCATCTGCGGAGGTGGTGCGCCTCCTCGTCGACGGCGGCGTCGCCCGCGTCGTCCTCGCCGGACAGCCGAACGTCCTCGAATGCCTCGCCGAGGACCAATGCGCGGTCCAGCGCCGCCTGAGGGAAGGGCGAAGGAAGGGCGAAGGAGGGGCTCCAGCAGACTCATGGAAGCACATTCCGTGACGCGCGGGCTGCCGGCTCGCCTCGAGCGCGCCCCCAAAGGCAAAAGCGTCTGGAACACCCTCTGCCGCGCCGCCTTTCGGCCCGCTATCCTCTGCCTCACCGCCCTCTGCCGCACCGCCCTCTGCCCCCCGTGCGCTCGCGTCGGCAGCCTCGCTGACCCCCGCCGCCGCCCGGCAGCAGCGGCCCTTGAGCGCGCAGTAAGCCTATGGACAAGTCGTGGACGTGTCATGGACTTGCCGCCGCCCGGCAGCAGCGGCCCTTGAGCGCGCAGTACGCCTGCCGGCTGAGCAGCAGCCACCCCTCGCCCTCCCTCTCCCCCTCGCCCTCTCCCTCCCCGCCGAGCCACTCGTCCAGGGCGTCCGCCGCCTCGCCCAGCAGCTGGCTGCCTGCAGGGCGGCGTCTGGGAGGTGACTGGGAGGTGTCCAGGAGGGCGGACCCTCGCCCAGCAGCTGGCTGCCTGCGAGCCCGAGCTCCCACTCTCCCCGCCCGAGGGCGGCGGAGAGGGCGGCGCGAGCCTAGAGCACGGCCAGGGGGAAGCTGAGGGCATCGCTGTGTGCATGAATTCCGGGGTCAGTTTTGCTGTGGATGGTTGGAGGGTCCATCTGTGTGTACTCCTCGAGATCTGTCCAACTCTGCCCGCTACGAGGGTCCGGGCGCAGTTGCAATGAAGATGGAGTGCAAAGGCTGCTCTGCATCTCCAGCATCTAGCGGCGCGGGCCGCGTGCGAGGAGGAGGAGAGGGCTGCGGGCTCGAGGCACGCTGGGAGGGGCTCGCCGCTCTGCGCGACGATCCGGCGGCAATCGGCGGCGCCTGCAGGGCAACACTTGGCTCGACCTGGCCGCGACCCCTCTGGCGATGTGGCCGCGACCCCTCTGCGATGTGGTCGGAGGACCTCTCTTCAGGTGTGGCAGGAGGAGGGGCACGAGGTGGCGATAGGAGGAGAGGAGGAGAGCAGAGGCGGAGAGGGGGAGAGGTGGAGAGGAGGGGAGATCAGGCGGCAGGCACGCACGGAGCAGCGGAAGCACTCTGCCACGCTGCAGCCGGAGCTCTGCCGGCCTCGCTGCCCCTGCGCTGCTCCCCTCGGCGGCGGTGGCACGCGGCAGCGCTGCGCCGACAAGCGCGCGCTCGACCCCAAACGCGTCGGGGAGCTCGTTCGAGAGGACCGCGCCCCGCACACGCGCAACCTCGCCCTCGCCTCCAGAGGCGCAGTGTGCAGCCGCGGCGGCCTGCAGATCCTGCCGCAGCCGCGCGCCGCCCAAGTCTCTCGCGTCGGCGCAGACGACTCGCAGCTTCGACTCGCACACGAAGCGCTCGTTGGTTGCGGCCTGCAGCGAGCGCAGCGACGCCGATCGCTCCGCGATCACGTACTGCACGACGGCGTACAGGCGCGGGAGGTGGTCGGCCATGTGCGTCAGCACGTCATGGGCGAGCACGCCGGTGCCAGCGCCGAGCTCGCAGACAACAAACGGGCCGCTCCCGCCGCCGGCGGCGAGCCAGAGGCCGTGGAGCCGGTCCGCGATCATCGCGCCAAACGCGGGTCGCATCGAGACGGGAAAGGTGGTAAAGTCGGCGGCGTCAGACGACTCGCCAAAGACGACGCGGGCAGCCGAGTAGTAGCCCCACTCTGGGTGGTGGAGCGAGTCCTCCATGAACTCGCACCACGTCGGACAGGCGATACCCTCCGCACCATCGACTCGTTCGCCGCGCTCGAAGTCGACTTCAACGCTGGCTGGCTGGCCCAAATCGACGCGAGAGCGTCTGCCCATTGCCCACTCCGGTAGGGTGCCCACAGGACCCAAAAGAAAATAGCTTTGTGGCTCAAAAAGGGACGCACGCGGCAAATCTGATGTTGGCCAGTTCCAATAGGAGAGAGGCCTCTTCCGTTGGGGGACCGAGTGACTAGGAAACGAGGGTTCCCCGGTTCTCCCCGTCTTTGTAGCCTGGCGTTTGTGCCCCGTTTGTGCCGCGTCCCGTGCCCCCGAGTTCATTTCATATCCCCGGTTTGTCACGCGCGAGCACGAGCGTGACACTGCACTTGGCGCCGAGCGCTCGCGGCTCAGACCTTGTGCAGGCCACCCCTCATTGGGCACGCCGGTCTGGACCGATGGCGCTCGGTGTGGAGCGAGAAGGAGCAGAGGCAGAACGAGCGGCACCTGTCGACCATCAATGCGCTCGAGGTGGAGCGGGCACAGCAGGCGGCCGACCGCGAGGAGGAGGTCCGATCGCTCAAAGAACAGCACAGCGCCACGGCAGAGGCGCTCCAGGCGACCGCCCGCAAGCTCGAGCAGGCGCTGCAGGAGGCGAGGGAGGCCCACGAGGCGGCGTTGCGACAGCAGCAGGGCCAGCACGACGCCGCCTTTGCGGTGCTCGAGAAGGAGCGGGAGAAGGAGAGGGCCGAGCTGGAGGAGCAGATGGAGCGGCTCCGGGAGCAGCACGCCGCGTCTGTCGACCTCTCGGCGGCCAAGCTCCGGCAGGCGGAGGAGGACGCCGTGGCGCGGCTGCGGCAAGCGGAGGAAGAGGCGCATACCGCTCAGGCAGAGGCGATGGCGGAGACGGAGGCGCGGCTGCGGCTCGTGCACCAGGCGGAGCTCGCAAAGACGGTGGCGAGCGCACAGCTCGAAGTGGCCACGCGGGCTGGCGCTGAGGTGGAGCAGGCGGTCGAGGTGGCGGTCAACGTGACGCGCGAGGTGAGAGCCGCGCCTCTGAGCCACTGCGAAGCGTGGCGCACCCATGACGGTAGGGCCTCGCCCCTGACAGGAGCTAACGAAGGAGGCCAATGCCAAGCAGGAGGAGCTCATCGCTAAGCACAAGGCGCAGCTCTCGAAGCTCATCGCCGGTATCTCTGACTCGGACGCGGCCCACGCGGCGCGCCACAAGGCGCTCGAGGACAGGCTGAGGCAGGCAAACGCGGCGCTGGCGATGGGGCTCGACGGACTGACCGGGCAAACGCCTGCGCACATGGGCTTGGTGTCTTAGGGCGCGCAAGCGGACGCTGGCTGCGCGCGCCAAACGGCAACGCTCCCCCGCAGAGGCCGCAAGCCGCGGGGAGGCGTGCGTGCCAAAGACTGATTGCTTTGTGAGTCGATGGTGTGTCCCAAGGAATAGCGACGCAGTGCGGAGAGTGCGCGCGCAACGATACTCGATAGCGGCAGAGCCGCCTCGAGGTCGACGAAAAAGCGCGGGGCGGGAAAGCGGACAAGCGGTGGACCGATCTAAGCGATATGTGCGAGGACAGAGAGGAGTGAGTTTCAGCGAGCAGCAGCAGGATCTCACACGGGCTGAGGCCCAAGTCGTGATGAGTGATGGTCGACGTGGAAGCACGAACGTAGATTTAACAGTACGATTGAAGAGCATATCCCTCATGTGTGCGTATTATACTGATCCTTCTCCGCAGCCATCAGTTTGTTGTACAATCGCTCGTTTTCACCCCGGAGAGGGACCAGGCGCGCTTCTCTCTGCTCCCTCGCCTCGCGCATCTTCTCCCGCTTCCGCGCCTGCAGCTCGTCCAGCTGCGCGCGCACCTCTGCCAGCGACGCCTCCTTCTCGTCGGCCTTTCTGCGCCTCTCCTCGAGCTGAATGCGCGCCTCGTCGGTCTGGCGCCGGATGCTCGCGATGTCCCGCATGAAGTCGGCCTTCGCAGCCTCGTCGGCGGACTTCTGCATCGCGCGCAACCCGCTAATCTGGGCCTTGACCTTGCTCGCGTCGCGGCGAGTCGCCTACGAGCAACCGGCGGCGGGCTGAGCGCGTGCGCCCGGCGCAGCAAGAGGCGCGCGGACGCTCCTCGGTGAGCTCGTGCTTGTGCGCCAGACGCTTGCGCAGCGAGGAGAGCGACTCGCCCGTTGCGATGCGATCCATCGCGCAGGCCTCCCCCGGTATTTTATTGCTCAACGGGGTCGGCCGTCGCTGTCCTCGCCGAGGCCGCCCATATGCACGTGTATCCGCCATTGATGCCGTCCAACACCAAAGTATCGCCTCCACTCTTGTGTTGCTCGCCCCGGCGGAGGGCATGGCCGCGGAGGATGCGAGTGCGCGCTTGCCAGGCCTTCCGCAGACAGCCTCTCGGGCAGACTGAGGGTCGGCTTTGCGTGGCGTGGCCCGTGCGCTGCGCTGTCGGAGAAAGGAATTTTACACGAAGGGGCACGGGACTGGCGCGCACTGGCACTAACACAGGTGCACCACGGGAGCCGCCTAAGCGACTCCTGCGAGGGTGGCGAGGCACTTAGCTCCGTGCACCCGCCCACCCCCGCCACAGGCAAGCTCATTCACAACCTGCTCCGGCCGTGTGTGTGAAGAACGACTGAGATACGCTGCTTCTGCAGCCCCAACCAATTCTTAGTGGTCCAAGTCACCTCATCGAGGTACTGGGCCCGCGTCAGCTTGTTCTGTAGCACGTTCGCCGCCTTCCGCAGTCTTGGAGAACCCTGTCCACGCCTGAGGATTCTGCACTAGCGATTCTGCCACCCAAGACAGGATTCTGTATGCGGAGGCTCGAGAGGGATTCGTGTCCGTTTCTTCTGATTCTCACTCTCCTTTTCCGGTTCTGCCTACTCGATCTGATTCTGCCCGTCCCCTTTCCACGCACTCAGCCTCCGGGCAGGATTCCTCACCCAGCTTCCGTTTCTGCCTAATCGATCTGATTCTGTCCGTCCGATTCTCGCCTTATCAGATTCTGTCGCGCGGTTGCGGTTTCTGCCTCCGGATGCCGGAAAGGAGCACTTGGAGAGGGAATTTTCCGCTTTTCCCGCTGATTTCTTGGCAACCGGCCGGACTCTCGTTTCCTGATTCCTGTTTTTGCCCGTCGAGGGGCGGTAGCCCGGCCGGCCGGCCATCTGGGCATGCTCACTCAACCAATCACGCTCATGTGTACGCGCCGTATCCTCCGCGCCACCCACTTTGCCATCGAAGTGCGCTCCGCGCTCCGCACAGTACAGTCACTTTTGAACGGCGGCTCATCACACGTGCGTCAGAGATCTCATGGGCGGTGGCATGGTGGAGCCAGAGCAGTGCGCGGCCGATCTTAATTCTGGGCAGGCGGTCTCCCATTCCCGCGGGCGCTTGGTGCCGGGGTTTGAACGGCATGCCGGCGTCAGATGCAGCTTGGCGCCGGCCTGCGGCGACCCCGCAAGCGGTGTTGGTGCTGCTCAGCGATGCTCACAGCGGCACGTCTGCTCTTTTGCTGTGGGGAGTGCTGTCTGATTGGGTCTCCAAGCCCGCGGGCTCGCTGTGAATGCACCCGCCAGCTAGGCAGCTCCGCGGCGGTGTGGGTGTAGAACGGGTAGGCTGCTGTCTCGTGTCTCGGTGCTCGTACTAAGTCAATGGGAGGAGTGCTTCAATTTCTTCTTCTTATACGCCCAGCTCAAAAGCACACACGCATCACGACGCCTAGACAGGCGAGACGCGGCGACAGCCGCGGCGAGCTCGTTTTAGAAGCGAGCCGCTCGCGGCGAGCAGTTTTAGAAAAAGGGAAAAGGGGGGGAGGGTTAGTTTGAACCCGAGCCGAGCTTCGCTCGGCTCCCCCCCGCGCGGGAGCGCCCCCCCCCCTCTCCTCGGGGGGGCGGGCAGAGCCCGCACCACACACTGCGCCTTTGCGGACGCCGGACCGAGGCTTTGAAGCGCTGAGTGCGCTGACGTGAGGCTGGAGCGCCAGAGAGACCCGCGCCTGAGGCCCTGAGCATGCTGCCGCGGGCGAAGTTTGAGTGAGCTGTGTGAAGCCCCGCGCACACGCAATATCGGCTCAGGAGTTCGGAGAGTCAGGCCAACATAGGATCCCGCCGAAATGCGTAACTCCGAGGAATCAGGAATCAGGAATCAGGAATCAGGAATCAGAATCCCGGTCAAAATGTTGGAATCAGGAATCAGGAATCAGGAATCAGAATCCCGGTCAAAATGTGGGCGATCCGACAAATCAGGAATCGGGAATCAGGAATCAAATGGAGCATCAAGAATAGGAAGAGAGACAGGAGAATCGGGAGGGGGGAGCAGAATCAGGAATTGGCTCTGGCTGCCCTAGAGAATCGGAAAGGAAGCGGAGGAAACGAGAATGGAGAATCAGGAAGCTGAAAGCGGGGCCAAGATGGGAGAGTCTGGGGAGAGAATCAGAATATCTGAGCAGAAGAGGAACCTGGGAAGGGGAATCTAGTGAGAGGTAGAATAGCAAGAATCCTTGTGTAGTAGAGCAGAATAGGAAAGGCAGAATCCTTAGGCGCGGACAGACTTCTCCATTACTCGCCTTCCGGAGGATCTCACGGACCCCCCCTCCCGAACCCGCCGAACGACTCGAACAGGTCAGCAGCAGCTGCACGTCAACGTCCTTGTCTTCCCTGGCGTAGCGATAGTCCCCGCCGTAGGACGGTATGCGGCGGTCGCCGCCCACCACCCTGCCCCCCCTGGTATGCCAGCGCCCGGTCCCTTGCCCTCTTTCGCCCTTGCTTTTCCTTTCCCCCTCCATGCCGCCCCCCCCCCCGTACCCCTCCCCCCCCCCCTCTCCCCCCCCCCCCTCCCCCCCTCCCCCTCCTCGCAGTAGGGCCCATGCCCCATGACCATGTTCCGGTAGAATGATTCAGTGTTGCCGAAAGCGACAAAAGCGCCCTTCCGACCGTGCTCCCCGCTGCTGCTGAGAGGACAGACGACCTTGTCCTTGACGTCTCCGCAAAGTGCGTGCCGTCCTTGCCAATGTTGTCCGCGTCCACGTCGGGTTGTGCGAGAAAGGAAAAGACGCTCGTTTCCTCGGGCTGTTCCATCTTCCCATCCTCTTCCAACCCAGGCGAGGCGGGGGGGGCGCGGGTGCGGGGTGCGGTGCGGTGCGGGGGTGAGCATGTCGTGTGGCTGCAACAAGTGTCTATCCGTCTGTATTATTATTAACAACGAAGGCGCTCTCAAAAAGATGGGAACTTGCTGTAGCCACATGACACGCACACACTCACGTCGTTGACCCAGAAAAACAAATTCTCTTCCAGTTGGCACGCTCAGGGGAGCACTTGGAGCACTTGGAGTGCAGTCGGCAACCTCACATCCAGAGCGGGCGAGTTAAAAAGTTTTTTTTTTTGAGAGCGCCTTCGTTGTTAATAGTACAAACCCAATGGTCCTCTGCGAGCGGTCCTTCGTTGCAGTCGCACACACGCACACGCCACACCGCACCGCGCGCCCGCCCACCGCCCCGCCCAGGCGGGAAAGAGATGAGGGGATGGGACAGCAAAGGAGGAACCCCAAACACGTATGGGAGGGTTCAGTAATGCGCCACGCTGCCCGGCGTCTCTCACTTTCCGGGACAGCCCTGCCCTTGTGAGGCAGGAAAGTGACGGCTACCCCGTACGCCCGGTTGCATCATACTCCATCGCCGACCGCCCATTCCCCCCTCCTCGTTCCCCCCTCGAATGCTCTGGACCCCGACAAGCCGCCCGACGTTGGGCCTCTGCCCCGCACGCTCCCGCCCCTCTGCCCCTCACACACACCCAGGCCCGACATGCACATACAAGACAAACCCGGCGTCCTGCTCTCAAGTTTTTTTGTTTTGTTGGCATGGGATTCCTCAGCTGTTCCGACGCGGCCGTGCTAGCGGCTAAGCGAGGCGATGAAGAGGCGGTGCTGGCGTGGCTCGACGGTGGCGGGCGGGCCGACGCGACGTGCGAGAGAGACGGCGTGAGCGGCATCACGTTGCTGATGGCCGCCGCCAACAATGGCCACGAGCGGGTGGTCGAGATGTTGCTGCGGGGCGGGGCAGAGGTCAACCTGCAGGACAGCGACGGCGACACCGCGCTGATGGCCGCCGCAGACCAAGGCCACGAGCGGGTCGTCGTGCTGCTGCTTCAGCGCGGCGCGGCGATAAACAAGCAGAACGGCAATGGCGACACCGCGCTGGTGCTCGCCGCCACCAACGGCCACGAGCGAGTGGTCGACTTGCTGATACGGCACGGCGCTGAGGTCAACCTGCAGGACAGCGGCGGCTTCACCGCGCTGATGCTCGCCGCCCAGGAAGGCCACGAGCGGGTGGTCGACTTGCTGCTGCGGCGCGGGACGGAGATCAACCTGAAGGACAGCAACGGCGCCACCGCGCTGATGAGCGCCGCCGAGAACGGCCACGAGCGGGTGGTCGAGCTGCTGCTGCAGCACGGCGCTGAGGTCAACAAGCAGGACAGCAACGGCGCCACCGCGCTGATGTACGCCGCCCAGCATGGCCACGAGCGGGTGGTCGAGCTGCTGCTGCAGCACGGCGCTGAGGTCAACAAGCAGGACAGCGACGGCGACACCGCGCTGATGCTCGCCGCCATCGGCGGCCACGAGCGAGTGGTCAAGCTGCTGATTCAGTGCGGCGCGGAGATCGACCTGCAGGACAGCAAAGGCTACACCGCGCTGGTGGTCGCCGCCTACAGCGGCTGCCCCGCCGTCGTGCTCCGCCTGCTTCGGGCGGGCGCGGATGCAAAGGCTCGCGCTGCAGACGGCAGGTCCGCGCTGCAGATCGCCAAGGAGGAGGCGGCCAAGGTGCTAGCTAGTGCCGACGCCGCCAGTGCTCCTGGAACGGACCACGCCGGGTGCGTGCGCGCTCTCACAGAGCACGCAGCGGCGCTGAGGGAGGCGGAGGCGGCCGAGAAGGCGGCCGAGAAGGCGCTCGAGGCCAAGGGGCGGCGCGAGCAGCGCGAGCGGGAGGCGGCGGCGGCGGCGCGAGAGCGCGAGCAGGCGGCACGACAGCGCGAGGCAGAGCGAGCGGCGGACGAGGCGCGCCGGGCGGCGGATGCGGCGGCGCTGGAGGAGCAGCGGCGAGCCATTGCAGCGGAGGCGGAGGCGAAGCTGGCCGCTGAGCGCGCGGCAGCAGAGGAGACGCTGCGGGCGAGGCAGGCGGAGAGGCGAGCGGCTGAGGAGGCGCTGCGAGAGGAGCAGCGGGCGGCCGCGGCGGCGCGCAAAGCCGCTCAGGCAGAGGCGGCGCGGCGCGACAAGGAGGCTGCGGACAGGAGGGCGGAGGAGGAGAAGGCGAGGCGGCGCGCAAAGGCGGCGGAGGCGACGGCGGCCAAGAAGGAGGCCAAGGCGAAGAACAATAAGGCCAAGAAGGCGCCGTCTGCCTGCACGCTCGAGGAGGAGCGGAGGGCGAAGGCTGCGGCAGAGCTTCGCGCACAGGAGGAGAGGGCGGCGCAGCTGGCTGCTGAGCAGGAGGCGGCGAGGCGGGCGGAGCGAGAGGCGGCAGAGCTAGCGGGTGCGGCAGAGCGGGCGGCGCTGCGCGAGGATGCGGAGCTGGCAGAGGCGCTGCGCCGGTCCGAGGTGGATGCGGAGGAGGCGCTGGCGCGTCGGGTGTCGCGGTGCGAGGAGGCGGTGAGCAGCGAGTCGACCGGCGGCGGCGGGGACTTGCCGCAGCGTGTCGAGCGGCTGGAGGCGAGCCTCGGCGCGGCGACCGAGGGCAGCCTCGAGGAGCGAGTCGGCGCCATCGAGCGCTTGATCGGGCCAGAGGCGAGAGAGGCGGCGGAGCAGCATCTGCCAGTCACCGAGCCGTCTGCTGCCGTCTCACTAGCCGACGCCGGCCTCGACACAGGGCGACAGGCTGCCCCCGAGTCCACCATGGGGGGAGAGACGTCGTGCATCATATGCTTCGAGCGGCCGAAGTCTCACCTCGCGGTGCCGTGCAGCCACTTGTGCGTCTGCGGTCCATGCTCCGAGCTGATGCGAGAGTGCCCTTATTGCCGCGAGCCAGTGATGATGTGGCTCGCCCCGCGCCCTGTCTGATCACTGAGCGCTGGGATAGGGTCGATTCCGCATGCTTGGTACGGGACCCCTCCGATCGACCGATCGTCTCGCCCTTCACCTCGCTGGGACCGTCGCTCGTCGCTGTGTGTTCATGTTTTTGTGGTGCCACCCGCGGCGCGGATATTCATCACAATCACGTCATGCCAGTGGTAGAGCTGTTTAACATTACTGGGCTGGGTTTTTAGGCATTGTGGGGTTGGCACTCCCATCGACCCTCATGACCTCCTGCGGTCTCTGAGATGGACACCAGTGGGTGTGGGACCACAGCCAGGATACACTCGAAGGCTGGGTAAGCAGTAGAGGTCGATACTCGACGCGTCCCACATGGTATGTGTCGCTGTCGGCACGCTGTCGACAGGACGTCGAGCGACACCGGTGGCAGTGCCACCCAGGAGTGGTCGGGCGGTCTCCCGTCATGAGAGAGTCACCATGTGATCCGTATGATGATTCCTGACAACCGCCTCAGTCAACTTTCGTCACAGTTCCCGCTCTGAGAGGAGCTGCGGGTCAGTTTGACAGCTGGAGCTGTGTCGCCGGCGTGCGGCGGCCTGCCTCCGGAGGTGCCTCTGAGGTGGACATTTTTTGGTCACCGTGAGAGAACGCGTTCGAATTTTTACTCCGGAACTTCAACTTCACACGCGCACCGGCCAGGGCTACAATAGTGCCAGTGAGGCGGAGGCGCGAGTCGGAAGGCGGCGACCGTCAAGTGTCCCTTCGTTTTCCTACAATCGCTGTGAACCCAGCCACGTAACTATAACTTTGGGCCTAACAGTTGCGCTAGTGTTGGCTGAAATCCTTAACGTTGTTCAAGTGTTCACCCTAGCCCAGGCTGCTACTGTTTGTTACTGTTGTTACTGTTGTTCAGCGGCCAGCAAGCAGAAAATGGCAAAATCCCCGCGGGTAAAACCCGAAAATACCTGGGTTTTCCTCCCGGGTATTTTCGGGTATTACCCGCACTGGACGCTGGAGGCCGTCGTGGGTCACTGCCAGGCCTTCCTTATTGTAGTTCAGCCGGCCTAACGTTAGCTACTGTTGTTGGGGAGCCCCACTGTTGTTCTGTTGTTACTGTTAACACTCGCAACACTGTTCAGCTCCCAACGTTAAACAGCTCTACGGACTACGGCTCTAGCCAGTGGTCCGTACAACCTCAAATCCACACGCCGCACCAGACCATAGACCGTCATATCACTCGTCCAGCGACCACACAAAAACGAAACACTCGGGGGGGCGCGGCTCCCCTCCCGCGCCACTCGGGCGCATCCGCGTATTCAATACCGAGGTATTCCGGACCCGCGCACAACTCCGGCCCGCCCTCACGGCGGCTATAAGACGTCTGGGAACTTGACGTCCGCAATCTCCGGCAGCTCGAGCAGCCTGGGGAAGACGTTGAAGAGCAGAGCGGCGGCGCCGAAGCCGGCGACGACGTACGAGATGACGTTGTTCTTGTAGGGCGCCTAGATGGGACATGTCTCGGACACGTCCTGGACGCGCGTCGCGGACTAGGCATGCCAGCCCGTCCTGTAGGGAGAGGGGGAGGGGGAGGGGGAGGGAGAGGGAGAGGGGGAGGGGGAGTGGGAGGGGGAGGGAGAGGGGGAGGGGGAGGGGGAGGGAGAGGGAGAGGGCGCGCCGCAATCTCCCTCCGCAGCTTGGCCGTCTTGAAAGCGGCCTTTGACGACTCCTGCACGCGCGTCAGGGCGGGGAGAGACGGTCATGCCGCGCGCGCGGCGTCTTGTGAGAGGCCGTCATCGCATTCGCCTTCCTGGGACGCAGCGCTGACTTCTGACTGTCATTGCTGTCTCTCCCTTCTCGACTGTCTGTGCTTGTGCGTATCGGGTCCGGGGTTGTGTTTTTGTGTGAGAGGCGGCCGCTCCTTGCGCTTGTACTGCTTCAGCCGCGAGCGCGCGTTGCGCTGCGCGTCAACCTCGCGCTTGGCGAGGCAGGGTCGACCCAGTAGTCCTCGCCAGCGAGCTGAGGGGGGGGAGTGGGGGGGGGGGGGAGTGGGGGGGGGGGGGGAAT